AAAGATACTTATTATTAGCAAGCATATTTGTTCTTTATATCCTGTGTTTGTTATCATCAAAACTCTTGCTGGGCTGTAGAACTAAATTATGTTCTAACATATATTGTGGGTGTCGAACTTAGGAGCTAACAACTATCCAAAGCTCAGTCAAAATCATAGTTCATACCATATACCTCACTATCTCTCAATATATGATCTTGTAAAACCTACAATTTTTTATTGGAACCCACAAAAGCATATAAGATAACCTCTACTACCGAGTAAAATCCCAACCCCCAACCTTAATTGGTAAATAAGCCACCTCCTCGAAAGGTACCCAAAGAAAGGATATCCACCAACCACAATATATTCGACTACCCATGACAATTGTTCATCAAAACAAGTAGTTTCCTCTTCCAAGTGAATTGATTGGCACATCCTCAGGCCAATTTTTTTTGGTCATACCCATGGAGGATCTGAGTAAAATAAGCTTACTATATAGATACCCTAACTACGGAAGAAGATTCATTAACTCAAAATACTTGACAGTTTTCTTCATGGATAACCTCTTAATAAAACTGTTATCAAGACTAACAACTCATCAAAGAAATTTCATCACAAACACTGCCTCTCAATATTTTAAGGGAACAACTCCCGAATATGATTACTACCATCACACCAAATCCAAAATATTTTAGACTTAGGAGTATTCAATTCGAGTCCTAATCATGGACTAGTCTCTTAGATTATATAAAGGGTTTTAGCCACCTCCTTGCAATTTTATTTTATCTTATGGATAATAGGGTGTAAGGCAAGAGCAAAAAAGAGATGCCCCAACAAGTCTCCTTGTTGTACTCCAGTGGCTGACATAATATGTCATTCTCTAAGGTACAACCTTGTCGCATGACCATAAAGAAACTCAATCCATAAAGAAATATATGGACATCTCACCCTCACTTCATACCATTGTTCCAACCGGTCTACCATTATGAAATTATTATAGAAATCTATTGCGAGCATAGTCGAAGAACCATCACCATGTCGCTTTCTCAACACCTTGTTTGTATTATGCAATATGGCCTCAACACCACTTGATACCCCAACCCAAACTAAAAATCATTGAAATATTTTGACAGAATCTATAAACTTATTTTCTCTCCCCTCACTCATTTTTTCTCTCCACTCTTTTTCTATTTCCTCTCCTTTTTCCTCTCTGCTCATCATTTTTTCTTTCTCTCTTTCCTCACAATCACTTCCTATCTCTTGTTTTCCATACAACATGGAAAGACTAATTCTCTCCCTGATAAATCCATGTGATCCCATCCATATTATCTACAAACTTTTTTATTGAGTAGAACCTCTTGAGAAGAAGTTTTTTAAGATCCGTCTAGGTAGTTATCCTCCTATTTAGAAGTGTCTATATCCAGTCTTTAGCTTGTATTGTAAGCGTCAAAGCAAACAAACAAGTATCTTTTTGTTGTCAATTATTTCATTAGAATTTAAGAATGAAAAAGTCTCTTTAAATATTGATAGGTACTCATAGGGGTCTATCAAAGCACTTCTATCTAATGGTATGTCTCTCATTCCTAAAAGAAAATAACTTTTAATATCAAAATAACATGGATTTGCGAGTTGGAATCCGTAAGCCATGTATTATTTGGCTTATTGTTCATATAAATATTATAAGGTGTGTACATGAGTATTAGCCACCTTCTCCTCTTTTTCTTTAGTTACACGAACAACTTTTCAGATTTTCATTGAAGTTCTTTTGATTACTAGATCAAACTTCAACTCTTATCAACTTGCAAGATGCATAAACTAACAAATAGATACATTAAATAGTATCTAGGAAATAAAATTAAAACAAAATATAAAATAAAATTAAAACAAAATATAAAATAAAATTAAAGTTAAATTAACACTAACAATAAAATTAACAGAACTTAAATGCTCCTAATTTCAAGTACTGCCTATGTTTGTCTTGTTGAAGTGATAATCAATCTTCGACAATGACGCCTTTTTGTTGGGGTGTAAATTAATTGCAATAGTTTTTTCAACAAAAATTTACAAAATGTGAGTATATTTCAATCATATCCACGTATATTGACATTAATTCAATAAGATTGGCGAGATTGTAGTTGTTATTATGAATGAGATGAAGCGTAAATTTAAGGGAGTTATGTTAGCTTTTTCTTTCTTATGTAAAAATCTCTTATCGAATTCTGAACTTAAAGTCTAGAATCTGATACAAATGCAAGTGTTTGCAGTAGATAAAAACAAGTTCACAGATAAAGAGTGGAACAAGAGAGACAGAAGCAATTTTATACTGGTTCCTCTCATAAAACGAGAGTAGTTCAGTCTCGTTACACTTCCAAGGGATTTCACTATAATCACAACTGATTACAAATACTCAAGCACATAAGCAAGAGACTTTTAATGCTCCAACACATAAGTAACAGACTTATAATGCTCCAACACATAAGTAACAGACTTATAATGCTCAACCACACAAGTAAGAGACTTCATACGCTCAAGCACATAATCAAGAGACTTCAGATGCTCAATCACATAATCAAGAGACTTTATATGCTCAAGCATTCAAGTAAGAAACTTATAATATTCTAACTTAATTAGATAAAATATTGTTTGAATATTACATTTGATATACAATCATAGGTGTAAACAAAATATAACTCAAAAAGACTCTTAAGACTTGTGAATTTCTAAGCTATACAAATGATAAGAAATTCTAAGTTAAAATTATGATTGTGGTTAGACAGAGTAACAACTCTTTTGATAGTCAAGGATTCATTTTATTCTTCAAGTCTTCAACTCTTTATATAGAGAGACAGAAAAAAGTCATTGAACAAAATCGCTTGCACAAGTGAGTCTTGAAAAAGGTTAATCATATTTGTTGGAATGTTTCATGATATGGTTAATTCAATTGAAAATAGATTTGAATTCCCTTTTCTTTAATAGGAATTATCTGTTACATCCCAGCTGTATGTGCAGATTTTTGTTTTGCATCTACAAGTGATCACAAGAAGACAAATTACTCTCTAAGTCTGATAGTCACCTATCAGAGCATTCATAATCCTTACATTTACTAACCAGAGTCTAATACCTTCAGAGTCTTAGTCTTCAAAGGTTGACTTTCTTCATAGTTTGGTCTTCAGAACTTGACCACGTTCAGAGTCTGGTTCTCGGGTTCTGATCCTTCAGGTTCTGGATCTTTTAGCTTCTCTTTAAATGTTCACTTTTAGTACCAGTACTAAGTATATCAAAACTTTTAGTCTATGATCCTGCACACTTTAACATTTATTAGTATACCCAATTTTTCTTTAAATACTTTGTTATCTCAAAACCTTAGAGATATGGTACAAACCAATTTTGTTCCAATAATCTCCTCCTTTTGGATGATGACAAACACAAGTATTTAAGAATATTGGTTGTTAATTTAATTAACAAGTTGACTTCAGGGTCTGAGTTTTGTAAGCTTCCCCTGATTCTAATAGTCTAAAAGGTGAGGTTTGTGAGTTCACTCTAAGTTCTATCTAGGTTAATTAATTTGATCTTTAAAGCACGATAAATTATTCTTCCGAATTTAAGTAAGAATTAGTTCTTAACTATTGTATTCAGACACTTAAATACTTATTTATCTTATTCCCCCCTTTATCATCAATAAAAAAAGGAAATGGGAAAATATACTGAAGAAAAATATCATTAAACCAAAGAAAATAATTGTCAGATTGAAAAATATTTCAAAATAAGTCAACAATAAAGGACACAAAAAACTATTAAAAAAAATCAAAACATCATAAAGGGTGCTAAGTCCTAAGGTCTAGGTTACAATGTTCAGAATCTCCAAAATAGCCTTGATTTTAGACCCCATATCATTTTTCCTTGCCACTACAGACTTCAGTTGAGCATCCATATCCTCTTGTTTGTTGACAATGGAATCCTGATTTGCAACTATCGTCTGAAGCTAAGCTCCCATAACTTCTTGAGAAATAACTACATTATCCAGTTTAGCCTCTAGGTGCTCTTGCTTCTAGCTAGAGGAAGCTATAGACTCAAAAGTGAAAGTCTTTAGATTCTGCAGAGCTGAATCCATGTATGTTATGATCGTGCCCCACTTAACAGTATAAGTAATGGAGTCAGATGTTGTAAGTCTCTCAACAACTAGATCCTGAAACCTATCATATATAAAAATTCCAAATTCCTCCGTTTGGGACTGAATATGAGGTGGAAAGTTCAAATAATGAGTTGGTTGAGGTGGTGAAAGGACACATGAGGATAGTTCTTTAGAGAAAGATACTATTATTGTGTCAAATTTTGGGATAACATCTGGTTCTTTTGAAGGGGAAGAATGGTGTTCATATTGTTAAGATTGATAGATTTATGGGTCAGAGATTGTTGTTCATGTTGGGATTCTGGTATGATTTGGTCTGGTATGCCTTGTTCAGGTTAAGGTCCAGGTTCAGGTTGAACAAGGTTGGTTTGGTCTTCTGGTTTGTAAGTTTCAGATGTTGTGGTTTCTAATGGCATGGCTTAAAGTGGCGTGGCTTCTATAGGTTTATATCTTCTAGTATGGTTTCCATGATCTGATCAGTATCAGCCATGGTGTTTATAGGAGTGATTTATTCAAATTCTGGGATTTACACTAGTTGGTTTTGTTCATATTGATTATCTGAAGTGAACTCACTAACTAGGTGTTTTGATAATTCATCTATGACATATGGTATTTAGATATTTTCTGTGCGCTTGGAGATTTTCAAAATCTGACTGATGGTTTGAGAATCAGATTCATCAGAATTAGAGCTTGAGGTTGATTTAGGGGAAGGCATGACAGTCTCTAAAGGATGAAAAATGTCAAGTTTGGGTGAGAGTGTATGTTCAGAAGAATCTGTGGGTGATTAATGAGGGGTTAGTATATGGGTTACAGATTAAGGATGGAAGAATCTAGAACAAAATCAGAGATAGAATAAGAAATATACATGAGTTTACAACTTCTGTAACTTCTATTGTAGCTTCTGCAATTTCTCTACTCCTACAATAACTTTTGGAGCCTGAGTATTTGTAGCACTTTCAATTCCCCTACTCTTTAAAATTGCTTCTACAACAGCTTCTACTTGCAAATCTTTTTCCTCCAGAACCTCAACATCTGATGGCTCTTCTATAACCTTATTATTTAATGCAGATGCTAGCATTTTAGATCCTTTTTGAATAAATCCTATGAACAAGTCCTGAGTCGATTTCTCCATATCCTTGATCTTCCTTATCTGTGGTTGATTATCTTTCTTCTCTACTTCCTCTTCAATAACTTCTTCAGCTGGTAGAATCATCTTCCTGAGCACTTTATCTGGTTTCTAGTGAATGGAGATTGTTGTTGATAAGAAGACGTCATTGAGAGAGAGGTTTAAGGTTCTAAAGGGATTTTTGAAAACTTGGTTGTTTTTTTGAGAAAGACTGAGAACGAAAGTGGGTTTCGAAGTGAGAGAAAAATGTGTGAATTTTGAATTTTGAGTGCTTTGAGTGAAAAGAGACTTTCAGATTTTATTAAAAAAAAAATTAATGATAATGGGGGCGTGAGACACAACATTCAAAAAAATTCATCATTATCTAACAGTTATTACTCATCACTTAATACCCATGTTAGAAAATCTTTCATATATGTGACATATAAGTAGGACATGTATAAAAAAGTAATTGAAAGATTTTTCTACTTATATGCTATCAAAGACAATTTATTAGATTAGGAGCATCACAAGCTGAGATGCTTCAGAGGCTACTATTCACCATAAGCTAGTTCAAAGCCTCTCATCATAGTGGATTTTGATCATCATTAGACTTTGATCCATCATTCAGAAGCAAGCACTATTATTCTATAAAATGCATGTTCAGATTCTCTTTAATAAAATCAAATATTTCCATAGCAAGACGCTTGGTAAATATATCAGCCTATTGATTATCAGTATCAATGAATTGTATATCTATCACACCTTTCTGAACATGGTCTCTAATAAAATGATGTTTTATTTCAATGTGCTTAGTTCTCGAATATTGAATTGGATTCTTTGTTAAACGAATAGCAGCTGTATTGTCACAAAAGATTGGAATACTGCTTCGACATATTTGATAGTTTTCTAATTGATATTTCATCCAAAGTAGTTGTGTGCAACAACTTGCAGCTGCAATGTATTATGCTTCTGCTGTAGACGAAGTAATTTTTTCTTGTCTCTTACTATCCTAGGATATAAGTTTTTCACCTGTGAATTGACAATTTCCACTTGTGGATTTCCTTTCAATTCTATCCCCAACATAGTCAGCATCACAAAATCCAAATAGCTTGTAATCTATGGATTTTTTATAAAGCATACCTAGATTAGTTGTTCCTTTCAGATACATAAAGATTCTCTTAACAGCAGTTAAGTGAGTCTCTCTTGGATCTGACTGGAATATTGTACATAGAAAGACACTGAACAAAATATTTGGTCTAAAAGTTGTTAGGTAAAGTAAAGAACCTATCATACTTTTGTATTGCTTCTGACATACTTTGGTGCTACTTTCTTCTTTGTTGAAATTGCAGGTAGAATGCATAGGATTAGTCATGATCTTGCATCCATCTAGCTTGAATTTCCTTCAGAAGCTCCTTTGTGTATATTGTTTGGCGAACATAGACTCCATCCTTTCAATGGTTGATTTGAATTCCAAGGAAGAACTTCACCTCCCTCATCAAACTCATTTCAAATTCAGCTTGCATTACCTCAGAAACTCTTTGCAAAGAGTAGCATGAGTTGAACCAAATATAATATCATCAATGTATACTTGAACAATTAAGATGTCATTTTTCAATTTCTTTCTAAATAGTTTAGTGTCAACATGTCCTTTTTGAAAACCATTTTCTGATAAGAAATTAGTTAGTCTCTCATACCAAGCTCTAGGAGCTTGTTTGAGGCCATAAAGAGACTTCTTAAGTTTAAGGACATGTTTTGGGTGGATTGTATCCTTAAATCCAAATGGTTGTTTGACATACACTTCTTCACAAATTACACCATTTAAAAATGCACAATTTACATTAATTTGATATAGAGTAATATTATGATAAATAGCATAAGATAAGAGTAATTTGATTGCCTCTAACCTTGCAACAGGTGCAAAGGCTTCAGAGAAATCAATACCTTCTTGTTGACTATAGCCTTGAGATATAAGTCTAAATTTATTTCTTACCACTACACCATGCTCATTGAGCTTGTTCCTAAAGACCAATTTTGTTCCAATAATGTTCTTCTAATGAGGTTTGGATACCAAATCCCAAACACAACTCCTTTGATTCAACTCTTCTTGCATAGCCACAATCCAACCATCATCAAATAATGCTTTATCAACAGAAGTAGGTTTAATCATAGAGATAAGTCCTAACATTGAGTGTTCTTCTCTAAATGTAAATCTTGTCTTCAGAGGACTATCTTTATTTCCAATTATCATCTCTTCTAAATGTGAATATTTGTACTTGAAGATCTTCTTGGATTGTGTTTCTTCTTGTGAGAAATCATGAGCTTCTTCATAAACTTCTTCATTTGGACAAGCTTCAGAAGTTAGATCAGCTTCTAGGCCACTAGTTTCTAAAGATTTGGTAGCTTCTGAACCACTCACTTTTTAAGTGTCATTAGATACATAAATTTATGAAAAACCTTCATCTAGCTTTGACATTTTATTGTTAGGCTCTTTGTCATCAAATTTTATGTGTATTGACTCTTCAACCATTTTGGTTTTAGACTTATACACTTGTATTCCTTTAAGCATCCAAAGTATCCTAAGTAGATACCTTTTTGAGCTTTGGGATCAAATTTATTTAGATAGAATTTGTTATATAAGACGTAACATGTACATCCAAACTGATGAAAATAAAAAATACTTGGCTTTCTTCCTTTGAAAATCTCAATGAAGTTTTGTTCATAATAAGTCTAATATAGATTCTATTCTGAACATGAGATGTTGTATTTACAGCTTATGCTCACATGTACTTAGGTAAATTATTTTCATGAGTCATGGTTCTAGCCATTTCTTGTAAATATCTATTATTTCTCTCTATAACTCCATTTGTTGTGGATTTCTAGGAGAATAGAAATCATGGAGAATTCCATGTTTTCCATAAAATATTTCAAATGGGTCATTTTCAAATTCCCATACATGATCACTTATGACTTTTAAAACCTTTGATTCCTTTTCATTTTGTACTTGTACACATAAGATGCTAAACACATCATATGACTCATATTTAGTTCTAAGGAATTTCACCCAAGTCCATCTGCTATAGTCATAAACTATGACTAATCCATATTTCTTCACATTGATTCATGCAGTACCAACTATACCAAATAAATCAATATGAAGTAGTTCCAAAGGTATGGAGGTAGACACAATTTTCTTTGTTTTAAAAGAGTTTTTTATTAATTTTCCATACTTGGCATGCTGTACAGCTCTCTGAGTGATAGTTCAGTTCTGGAAAACCTTTGACAAGTTTTAACTTGCTAAGTTTAGAGACCAATCTCTAATTAGCATGTCCCAACCTTTTGTTCTAGAACCACTTTTCATCACTCACTAATAGAAGATAATGTACATACTGATCAGCCAACTCAAAAAAAATTAATTTTGTAGACATTGTATTTTCTCCTACCTTTGAACACTATGGACTTATCTGACTCGTTCATAACTATAAAGTTGTTCTTATTAAACATTACTTCATAACCATTGTCACAAAATTTACTAATTTTCAGTAGGTTATGTTTCAGTCCATCTACTAACCAAACATTATTAATTGAAATAGAAGAATTACATATAGTACACATACCAATGACCCTTCCTTTATGGTTTTCTCCACACCCTATAGTTCCTCCCTATTTTATAGTTAAGGTTTGGAACATATGCCCTTATCTTGTCATGCGTCATGAGCAGCCACTATCTAGGTACCATGACTGTTGCTTTGCTCCTCCCTTGAAACATATCTGATGCAAATATAATTTCAAATTTAGATACCCATAACCTTATGGTTCCTTTGGGGTTAGTTCTGAAAATCTTTTTCTTATTTGGTACCATAGCTTTCATGAAGTAGGGCTTAGGATCATTCTAGACTCTGGGTTTAAAAGTTTTATGTCTTGAATCAATCTTAGCCTTTGGGTATGAACCTCAGACTATGATGTATTAAGTTATGGTATGTGTGATACGGTGGGAGAACTGACTTGAGGTTTTGCGTTTGTGTTCACAAATGTTGCGGTTTAGCAAGAGTCGCCACTGACTTTTCTTTTATCCAAAGGAAAGGTAAAAAAAGCACAGGAAAGACCTTTCGAGATTATTTCTCGGGTTCGGGGGGTAGATTATGAAAAGGGAAGGTATTAGCACCCTTTTCATCCATGGTTTTGCATAGGCTCTTAGTTACTCGTTTGGATCACTTGCTTTCATTTGACAGTGTGCTTGTGATGTGGGCTTTGAAAGTATTTTGAAAAATCTCTTTGTAATGGTTCTCGTTTCTATAAGAACGCGTACAAAGTTTTGTTTCAAAAAAGTGGTTCAAAGATGTGTTTGTGAATTGTGTTGTCGAAAGTGGTTTTGGAAAAGATGTTTTGTAATAGTTCTCGTCTCTATAAGAATGTATACAAAACGTTTTGTCTTTTAAAAATGTTTTGAAATGAAAGTGTAGGTGTAAAAATGTTTTTATCGTGAGCAAACGAGTAACTAGGAGCGAATCTATCTACTAGAAAGGTCTTAAATTGTTCTTTTCTTCCTCCTCTTAATGTGGCTATCTTACCATTAATTTGGTAAGAAGCCCCATCGTTGGATGTGAAGGGACAGGCGCGGGTCAATTTTTTTTACAGTCATCGAAGGCAATTTATGAGACGCTTTAGCAATTTTTGTAAGGGACGAGATCGTTTTATTGAAGGCAACATCGAGGGTCATCGAGGGACTACGGTCTTTTTTATCGAAGGGTCATTACTAAGACGTCCCATATTCGAGGGACATGACTGTATTTCCGAGGCAACGAGCGAGGTTACCCTAGAGGTGCGTGTGTGAAAAGTGTGTTGGTTTCAAGTTATTTTATTCTTTGATTAGGTTATCTAGCGATTGATTTTTGAATCTTGCCATACACGCCTAATTACTATACAGTATAAGGAAAACAGTAAATTGCGGGAATTGAAATCCTACGCTATTACAAAGTGTTCGGGAATGGGGGTACAATTTTTACAAATGGGGATGAGTCGAATCGTCAATGTAAGTAAGAGTCTAAAATAGCAATCAATACAACCAAATTGAATCGAGCAATTAATCGAAATGGAAACGAGCTTAT